AGTATTTCCTTGTATGTACATCCTGCATGTCATTTTTCCATTCATCCATCAGGGGTCATTTGTGTTGTTTCTATGTTTTGGCTGTTGTGAATGATTCTTCAGAGCTGTGTCCCCCGAGCCACCGCGCACACACCATCCCCAGGCTTCTTACAAGCCTGCAAAGCCCCTTGAGTCTCCCCATGCCACTCGTGTGCACAGGAATTCCGAAACAGCCCTGACTTCCACTCTACCAGGCACCACCTCTGCTTCAGAGCACACCCAGTGCCAGGAGACAGGACGTGGGGGCTCCATGAGAGTGGCAGTCATCCTGATCGTCATCATCATTCATTGCAGATGCCCCCAAGCTACAGGGCCCCGTGGCTGTGTACACTTGGGAGGGGAACCAGGTGAACATCACCTGTGAGGTGTTTGCCTACCCCAGTGCCACAATCTCATGGTTCCGAGATGGTCAGCTGCTGCCAAGCTCCAACTACAGCAACATCAAGATCTACAACACCCCATCTGCCAGCTATCTGGAGGTGAGTCAGCCTGGGGGCAGGGCCAGGTGCCCAGGTGAAGAAGGCACAGTTGGGCTGTGGGTAGGCTCCTGAATGCGGCTCACATCCTCTCTGTCTTTCTTCCCTGGCATATCCTAAGCAGGGAAGGCACTGGCTGGGAAAGAAACTGAGCCTCATCCCAGGTTCCCTGTCCCCTAATGCACTGATCCTCTCCCTGCAGCTACAGCAGGAACTAAGAGGCAGAGTATGCCTCTTCCATGAGCCCCTTTACCATTCTCTGGAAGCGAAAGATTCATGTTTTACTAGTTCTATTCTTTACTAACTTAATCCAGTAAATAAGGATCTGAGTCTGTGGACATTCCACAGGACACTTGTAACCCAAGAGCTCCTTCCTTCTAAAGGTGACCCCAGACTCTGAAAATGACTTCGGAAACTACAACTGCACTGCAGTGAACCGCATTGGACAGGAGTCCTTGGAATTCATCCTTGTCCAAGCAGGTGAGAGCCCCTTTCGGTGGCTTCCACACCACCCTTACCTTTGCCAGCCCATTTCGTGTACTTTGGTGGCGCCAGGGTCAGCAAGTCCAGGGGGCCAGAAAGCAGAGAGCCATTGGAGGATCTGAGCATGGCTCATGTAGGGGAGAGTCAACCGGGGGTGGGGGGAGGGGTAAGCCAGGAGGACAAGGTACAGGCGACAAGATTCCCAAGAGTGAGCAGAAATGAGAGAAACATGCCTTGTGATTGGAAGTTATGGTCCCAGGCCAAATTGGGCTCACCTGGGCCTCCGTATGTGTGCTCCCCACAGACACCCCCTCGTCACCATCCATCGACCGGGTGGAGCCATACTCCAGCACAGCACAGGTGCAGTTTGATGAGCCAGAAGCTACAGGTGGGGTGCCCATCCTCAAATACAAGGCCGAGTGGAAAGCAATGGGTGAAGAAGCGTGGCATTCCAAGTGGTATGATGCCAAAGAAGGTGAGTCAGGAAGAGTTGGCATTTCCTTTGGGCTTACGAGTGTCTCAGCACTCAGTATTGGGGTGCACACTCACCCCCAGCACCCACCAGATCCTGGCTGCCCACTTGGGAAGAGTGGCACACCATTCTCACCTACCAGAGATTGCCAGATGCCACCACCTGCTATCCTGTCGTGTTCCTACAGAATTAGGAACCATCTTTCCAGAATTAGGTTGTGGTCACATCTCCTTGTAGAGTTGTTGGCCCCCCTGCCTCTGCCCCCTGGTGCGTCAGAGGCTGGTTTTCACGACACTGCCAGAACAGGTGAGGCCATCTCAACCACGTTCCAGGCAGCAGCCCCGCAAAGGTGCTGAGTACAACCAGGCGAGTCCAGTCCACCCATCCTCTGCATATTCGAGGGATTGGAGCTGCAGTTCCCTGCCCACACCCAGCCTGTCCCACCTGGTTATCTAGACTCAGGGACTGTCATGTAATTGTGATAGTAACCAAGTGAGCAGAACCAGCAAGGAATGTCTGCTCTTAAATCAGTCCTATGATATCTTTCCAAGCTGAAGATTTTAAAAAATGACCCTTGGATTACTGCATTTTTTTTTTTTGAGACAGAGCCTCACTCTCTTGCCTGGGCTAGAGTGCCGTGGTGTCATCCTAGCTCACAGCAACCTCAAACTCCTGGGCTCAAACGATCCTACTGCCTCAGCCTCCCAAGTAGCTGGGACTACAGGCATGCGCCACCATGCCCGGCTAATTTTTTCTATATATTTTTAGTTGTCCGATTGATTTCTTTCTATTTTTAGTAGAGACGGGGTCTCGCTCTTGCTCAGGCTGGTTGGATTACTGCAGTTTTAAGATTCTGAGTCCAGACCATCTAAGGATGGAGTCCATTTATGTCTGACTCCCCCTTTTGGGTTTAATTGGAATCACTCAGCGAAGTATATTTTGTTGCTGTAGAAATTTTTAATCCTGGTCTGGTATGTGGTGTAACAAGGGTGGAGTTGGGAGTGAGCTGCGATATTGGTATCACGGCCATTCAGAGACACAGTCCAACCCAGTTTTACTGAGAATTAGTACTGCCAGAAAGCGTCCATCACTCCTTCAGTTTCTAAGGGGTCCGGGGGGCCAAGAGGAATTGCTGTGTGATCAGAATCTGGGTCAGAAGAAAGCATTCTCCTTTCTAACTCCCCTCTGAAATCTCACACCGACTTTGTGGCAGGTGGATCCCATGTTACTATCTATCCACCAGGCTTTTTTCTTTTTCTAAGGTCAATTCTAGTAAATTTTTAAAATACACATAACAGATTTTACATTTAACCATTTTTAAGTGTGCAATTTAGGGGCATCAAGTGCAACTATCACCCCCATCCATCTCCAGAACTCTGTGCCCATGAAACACTAACTCCACGTTCCTTCCTCCCCCAGCCCCTGGTCACCACCACTCTGCTTTCTGTGTCTATGTAGTTGGCTATTCTAAGTACCTCGTATAAGTAGAATCATATAATATTTGTCCTTTTGTGCCTGGCTTATTTCACTTCGCATATGTCTTCAAGGTTCATCCATGTTGGAGCATGTGTCAGAATTTCCGTCTTGTGTAAGGCAGAATAGTATTTCCTTGTATGTACATCCTGCATGTCATTTTTCCATTCATCCATCAGGGGTCATTTGTGTTGTTTCTACGTTTTGGCTGTTGTGAATGATGCTGTGTACATGGCTATCCAAGTATCTGTTTGGTCTCTACTTTCAGTTCTGTGTGTATGCCCAGAAGTAGAATTGCTGGACCAAATGATAAGTCTACATTAATATTTTGAGTTCCCGCCATACTGTTTTCCAGAGTGGCTACACCATTTACCAGTAGACTGTCACTCTTTTGTGATCCTTCCCATGTTCTCGCCACAGCCAGCATGGAGGGCATTGTCACCATTGTGGGCCTGAAGCCAGAGACGAGGTACGCAGTGAGGCTGGCAGCCCTCAACGGCAAGGGGCTGGGGGAGATCAGCGTGGCCTCCGAGTTCAAGACGCAGCCAGTCCGTAAGTAAAGACAGCTTCCCTGCCTCTTCCTGTGCCCACCCTCCTCTCCCTGGGGGCAGCCAGGGACTCTGAGCTGGCCCACGTCATTGTCCCAATGACAGCTTTTTGTCTTCCGATCCCTGTGCTCATGGCGGCCTCTCCTAGTTGAGCTAACGCACAGCCCCTTCATCCTCTCTTTCTCGAAGGGGTTGGGAACACTGTCCTCATAGCCAGCCTAGCTTGTTAGAATAACAGCCGGAGGAAAGCCACCGACACATTATTAAAGGGAGTGGGAAGAAAACCAATGGATTATGGAGGGACCTGGGAGATTTATTTGCTTTTTGACACAGGCCACAGAGGCCCTCAGCACCCTGTGACTTGAAGGAAGAAGGCCAAGATGGTGACAGGTCACATATTTGTTCTGGGATTTTTGATGCAACAGAGATATTAAATCACAGAGGAAAGGAGATCGCTGTAGAATGTGGGAGCAGAAGCAGAAGCCCAACAATGCCAAAGGGGGAGGGTGGCCCTGGGCTTCGCCTTCCCTGCTCCTCGTCCCCTCCCACACCAGGAGTGGTGGTCAGGGTCTCCCTCCCTCTCAGCCTCTTTGAGGAGAGCTGCTTCTTCCTGATTCTGCTCAGGGGTACATCTCTGTTTTCCTCCGCCATCCCATCTCTCCTTAAAGCATGCCAGCCCTGCTTCGCCCTCGCCTCCCACAGGCAGCCAGGCTCTGGGCGAGCCCTGCTCCAGCCATAGCCCTCTGCAGACAGAGTTGCTGCCCTGGGAGGCTCCTGAGTCCATCCCGCAGAAGAAGATGCCGTAGAACTAGACTCCCGAGGGGTCACAGAGTTCCCTGGGCTCTCTCTGACCCCTGGATTTAAAATGCGCAAAGGAGAATCCTTTGTTTCCTTCTCCTTGGAGCCAGAGGCCTGCAAAGGGACTCCCTTCCCTCTTCCCAGAAATAGAAAAGCCTGTGTCATCTTCCTTCTACAGGAACAGCTTCTTTCTCTGGATTTGAAGTAATTTGATAATTTGAGTTTCCAGCTCCATGTGCTCTGCGGATTCTATTCATTTCTTTTACATCTTATTTTTTTTTTCTTGGGTCTGTCTCTTGTCTTTTCTTTTCGTCTGTGTTCCATCCATGGGAAATGCAGATAGCCCTCCTCCACGTAAGTGCCTCTTCATACCTCATTGCCTGTCCCCATAGCGTTAACATCTGCTAGTCCTAGTTCTTAATTTAGTTCCAGTGCCTTTTTGTCCCCTAGAGGCTGAAGTAGATACTGTCTGGGCCCTAACCACACTGACCTTAGTCTAGTCGTGTTCTTGTTAACGTCTGTAGGTTACTCCGAGAGGCTAACACTCTTCTGTTTTAGAGCATGCAACTTCTGTGTCTTTTGAAATTGTGCTTATTTATTAATTTTTGTGTGTGATGATCGCATTTGCTGAGCCAAGCCTGGTGGAAGTCTGCAGATGGTCCCTGAATAACACGCTATAGCCCCGTTTCTCCTTCAGCCAGGATGGCAGAAAAGTGACCACAGCCTCACTGGGCCACTATTCAAAATTCCTTCAAGGGAAAAAGAACCCGAAAGGATTTTCACATTTGCTTTTAGGAGATAAAAGAATTAAACTCAGTTGCTTCCTTGCTTTGCTGGCTCTCAGGTTGGTAGCTAGAGGGGAACAGGAGTACTGGTGGGGGAAGGCCCCTGCAGCAGCTGCCTTTGTAACAATAGAGCATGAACTTTGGTTCCAAGTCATGGCATGTCCTCCGGCAGCTGTAGGGAGTTAAATCTCCAGTTCCGGTCAGCTCTGTTCCTTAGAACTAAATCACCTGCAACGTGCATTTTCATGTTCAGGAAAGGCTGACCAGCTAACTTAGCAACTTTCCTGCCGTGCATGTATGGGGGAGATTCCCCGTGGGCAGGACACCCTAATAGTGTAAGCTGCAAATAGAGAAGACAGGGAGTGGAACCGTGGGCTCACCTCCTTGGCCTGTGTGGACGCCCCAAGCTCTACTTCTGCCGAGGCTCGCCTCTTTCTTCCTCGGCTGAGCTCAGAGAATAGTGGAGGGAAGTGTTATCCCAGCAGAAGAAAAGCTATTCAGGAAGCTACACGCTCTTTTTATAAAAAGCTCCTAGCTCCTGAAAGGCACTTAAGGATGCTTATCTTTTTAAAATTTATTCATAAATATTGCCACAACAGCAAAAACTAAGTAGCTAAATGTAGGCGTTCTGAGAGTTTGAGCAAGTGCTAAATCCACTACCTCAGCAGAGTTGGTGTCTGAATGAACCAGCTCTGGAAGGCACCGCGGGTGGGGGATGGAGTCGTCAGGTAGGCTGACAGCTGTCTGCTCTGGGCTGGCAGCTGGGCCCTGAGCAAGTTCAGGAGGAGCAGCTGTGGGCATAAGGGAATCTTCTTTATGGACCCTTCCGCTGATCCTTAACTGGTGCTTCAACCGAATCTTCAGGTTTCCTGTCTTCTAGATTTGATCAATAAATGAGTGCTGGCTTAGTTACGTTAAAGAGAGGAAGGCTGGGATGAGGCCTCCCTCTGAGTCTCTAAGCAGTCACTGGAGTTTGAGTACTGAATCAGAATAACTGGGTCTGGGACTTCAAAGACCACAGTGGTTTTCATTCTTTGCCAGCTCAGCCCTTGTAAAGGTGAGATTTTTTTTTTTATATAGCAGAGTCTATGTTTTTAAAGTCAACGTTAAAAACTAAATGTTTAATTCAATTTTGATTTTAAATTTGAACTTAGATTAAATTTTTAATCAAAAAAAAAGACACCTCTAGACCTCGTTGCTTATTGTCTGGTAGTGTAAAAACGGGTAAGCGACCAAGACTCTAAGAAGCCCTTTGGCAGATGGCGTCATCGCTCCATTCCAAGGAGATCAGGAATGATACAACAGCAGGCATTGCTAGTGACACAGAAAGTCAGTATTTCTCAATCATATAGTAACGTTACAGTTTAAAGAATTGAAAAGCAAACTTCTTTTAGATAAGTAGAATCATGGCATAGTCTTAGAGTTAAGCGTACCTTTTTTAAGAACTTTGGCAGGATGGGGTGGGGTGAACATGTGGGAACATCATCCTCTCACTAAAGATACCTTATTTTGGTCTTTCTTTGTGCCCCTGTAGTCTTCCCAGGGTCGCTGAAGCGAGGGCCTACCCTAAGGGGTCTGCCGCCGCCCTTAGACTCATCCTGAAAAAGGAAACCATCAGGACGATGCTGCCAGCAGTTACCACTGCTGTGACAAACCCAACTTTTTGCTGCTAGGAAGTGAGAACAAGTCTTAGTTCAGAGTTCTCACTTCCACTGCACAGCAGGCACAAAGGTTGTTTGAAATCAGGCAAACAGAATCAACCACCAGTTGACCTGCGTGCTTCCACTGAGCTCAAGCACCAGCGACATTGGTTTCAGATGCCAGCTCCAGGCACCATCGACACTGCACCCCTATCCTGTAATACCACTGGGGTACAGATGCACTGCCGGATCCCACGGCACTGGAGTTAAGCCCTGCGTGCACCCTTAGCCCCAGAGAAGAGAAAGCACAGGGTGATGCTGGCATACGGGACAGGGAGGTGATGGCTGCCAGACCCCTGGCTTGCCAGGCATTCGGTGAGGCCAGTGGGTATGAAATTGACTCATCACTTGAAGTTTATTGAGGTGTCTCAATAATGGGGTTGCTTTTTTGGTTCCTTGGTAGACTTCTCCACATTCAGGGGCAGGGATATAGCCATGCAGGCATGAACGGGTGAAACTAGCAAAAGCCACCAATATTTGAAGGCCCCCTGCCCGGGCTGCCGGATTAGAAGGCATGGCTTACCTGTTTGGAGGTCCCTTCGTGTGCAGTTCATAAATGTGCATGAAGGTAATGAGCAAGCTGTGCTGCAAACAAATAAAACTCTAACCTGGGAGAATGTTGCTGTTTCGTGTATTTTTAAGCCAAATGTCTGCGTGCCAGCAAGACACTCAGATGGAAAGCTCACGACCTCTATTTGCCTGGTGAGGGGCTGCTTCCCGGTCAGAACTGCCTACAATGAACTGTGAATCTTTTCCTCCATGACTGAGCCACACACCTCCAGAATTTCATTGCCTGAACCCACATAATTTGCTTCCATACCATGAAGCAAAATAGACAATTTCTTTCAGGATGTAGAGATTATGAATGAGTCTCTACTTTTGATAAGACGCATCTTGAGATTTTCATTTTCACATGTTATCCCCTGGATGATGGCACATTACAAGTATAAGTTAAACGCATTATAATATATGTGGCTAAAGCACATAAAATTCCATCCCTTTGCCAAAATAATACAGACAATTATGCAAACAGTTCCAGCCAAAAAATAAAAGAGACAGGGAAGGAGAGATACGCCTTTACGTGAATTAACCAGACCATCCAATCACATAGAGTTAGTCTATCTTGCTCTGATTCCAGTGACATTGTACTCATGGTTTAATGAGATGCCCTCATCTTGGAGGTAAAGGAAGATCACACCAGGAGTACTAATGCAGGGTTGGAGATACGTTGGTGTTTTTCCAAATTTTCATCTAGCTCTCAGAGGGGACTTTGTTTTATGATTGTTGATGGGACAACTTCCGAATATTTGCCAATGAAAACTAAAGATCCATTCAGTATCCCAGTGTCTCAGATGCACGATTTCTAACCATCCTACATACAGAAAGTTGGTTACTGTTACTTATTCAGCCCCAGTTCCTTCAACATCCCCTTTCTCTGGGGGAGTGAGAATGACACTGACCACTATCTGCACTGCTCTTCTATAGCAGTATCCTAAAAAGTCACATTCTGTAAGGGGCTTTTTGGAGGGCAGCGGTGGTGATAGCATCACCTGTAGGACAGACTATGGCGAACCTCACCCAGTAGTAAACAGTAAGTAGGACAGTCATTTCTACTTCATTCAGATATTAAAATTAATGAGGCCTCTAGGTTTTGCTATAAATAGTGCCATATATGCAAATAAGTGCCTCTATATAAATGCATATGTAGATGTGTAACATGA